CCAGCCTAACCCTGAGCAGTCTGGCCCCCCTCCCCCAGCTAGCCACCCCTATATATTGTTTAGCATGACGTCAGATGGTATGGAATACCCCTTTGGCTAGTTTGGGTCAGCTGTCCTGGGTCTGTCCCCTCCCTGCTCTTGCTGCACCCCCAGCCTGCCCGCTGGCAGGACAGAGCAAGAAGCTGAGACATCCTTGGCTTAGTATAAGCACTGCTCTGCAACAATTAAAGCATCGGGGTGTTATCAGCACTCTTCTCATCCTAAGCCAAAACGTAGCATTCTACCAGCTACTAGGAAGAAAATTAACTCTGTTCTAACTGAAACCAGGACAGCTTGCCATGTAAACCCACTACATTCTACCCCTCGCCTTACTGAAAAGCATATTTAAGAATAATCACAATATACTCTTTACAATTATCACAATCTTCACAAACTTCACTTCCAACAAAAAGAAAAGGAATTCCCCACACAAAAATAAACATAACATCATCACAACACCGACAAGGTGGACAGTTTACACACACCCCACCCCTCGTCCCTTCACCACACTAATATGAAACATATTCCTCACATTTCCAAGGGATGTGGTTACAAAGCTTGTTAAAGATAGAATTAGTACGCCTGGTAGTTTTTCTCTGTGTTTTAGTTTGTGTTAGTCGTGCTTTTTTATGTTAATAAAGAAGGGGGCGATGTGGGAGCATGGCCATAGGGGTCGACAAGCCCCATGGTTGTTGATAACATCGGACTCTTAATGATGAGGCCATCAGGAATGTAAAGAGTTTAGAGGGAACAAAGAAGGGTGATTCAGGAGAGGCCTTGCCACCTTGGGTTGTTTGTTCTCCAGCCGTTTAAGGCATGGAAGTTGCTGGGTGTTTGGGGGTGCTGGACAAAGTTGACCAATGAATAGTTAGTGGAAAAGGACTGCTGAGGGGTGAACAGTAATAAGAAGGGAGCTTATCCTCAATATGATGATGCATCAGGATAATGAAGTTAAGCCCTCAGTAAGAGAGAAGGAAATTATGTCATCAATAAAGTAGCAGCAGTTTGATCCTGAAAGAACCCTGATGTCCATTCACCTTGCTGAGGCAATCGGCTCCGGGGCAGACGCTTTCTGCAGCGGAGCGGGGGATTGGGATAGGCAGGGCTATTTTTTCCGGCATCGAGCACACTTGAGGGAGCCACCAGGACCCAGTAGCCCTTGCGAGGGAGGCTGACGAGGCGTAGGCGGAGCCAGCAGCGCCCCACCCCTGGCCGTTCAAAAGCTGCCCCTAGGGAGCGCGAGCGACCAGGATGGGCAAACAGGGCGTGGCACCTCAGTAAGGAGTGGCACGGCAGTTCACGCAGGAAGGGCGAGCAGGAAGGGCAGAGCGTTTCCCCCCTCTGCCCATACGAACAACTCCTCTAATGGCAGTCTACCGCTAGCTCAACTGCAATGGTGTGCACCAGGCACAGTGCTCTCTCTAGGAAGTCTGTACACACCCAGACTGACTGCCTGCTCAAAAATGCAGCAGTTCAGGTCTCTGCATGCAGGGAGTGCCTGGGCCTTATGTTACCACCTGCAGGGGGGGCAGAGAGACTGTGTGCGTGAGGTGCAAGCAGGTGGCTGACCTGGTCCACCTTGTCCGGCTAGCAAACATGACGCCCATCTACAAGAAGGTCTGGAGGGCAGACCCGGGGAACTATAGGCCTGTCAGTTTGACTTCAGTGCCAGGGAAGCTCATGGTGTACGCTTTGTTGGGTTAAAAACTGGTTGGATAGCCAGGCCCAAAGAGTTGTGGTGGATGCAGTCAAATCCAGTTAGAGGCCAGTCACTAGTGACTGGGCCTGATAGCCTGCTTGCCCTGTAAGAGCTTATCAGGGTGACTGCAGAGTGTGGGGGGCAGAGGTAAGATTGACGTGCAGAAAACGGACTCCACAATCAGTAAGATTGTAAAGTAGGTATGTTTATTCAGCGCTGGGCGGCACGGGGGGGGGGTAGCCCCACTGAAACCGTGCGCACCTGACGCAGCAACTTTCATTGGTTTTATGCAGTAAAGAGTTACATATGCATGAAGTTTCACGCTATGCCTATACATATTCATAACCTGTCCCCGCTTCATAACCTGTCCCCGCTTCATAACCTGTCCCCGCTTCATATTAAAATTAGTTCCAAGGAGTCATTTCCATAAACTCCTCTGATCTGTGCTTGCACAGTGTATTCTGGTGGTGGTCTTCGGGGGTCATGGGGATGAAGATTGATGACTCTTCCTCATCACTGCTAGTTGACCTCTTGTCTCTGTGCAGACTCAGTTGCTCCTTGACTCTTGTCCATCCACAGGACCAGTTTCTTAAGATAGGCTCACACTCTTATTAGGAGACTGACCTTGGTAAAGGGGCCCAAGGCTTCTTGCTTTAATTAATTTGAGCATCCTAGTTTCATGCTATCACTCTATCTCTACTTGATAAGATTCCCCTAACTTCCTCTCTCAAGGTAAGGGGCCTACATGGTGTCTTCTCAGGCCTGCTGCTGTAAGTACAAATGTAAACTTTGTTACTGTCACCTCTAAGGTCTAGGCTCAAGCAGAAGTGGATTCATCAGTGGACACAATCACACCTGGTTGTGTCACTGTTGGTATAAGCACAGCTTTTGCTTCTATGACCAGCCATTTTCTGGTTAAGTATGAAAGGCTTTAAATGCACAAAAGCCAAAATAACATAATAATGTAAACATAACAATAGTATAGCGAAGAGACTAACTCCTCCAACTTCTTGTCTTCCATTCTTACTTCTGAACTAAAAGGTGCTGCCATGCTGTACCTATAATCACTGCTTCAAAGCCTCTGGACCCGAAGTCATGTTGCATCTGTGATAGAAGGTAAAAGATACTAAGGAAAAGTGTATGAGAACTAAGAGCTTCTTGAATAAAGATTGTTGCTCAGGAGTTACCAGCAGAGCAAAACTAGTCATAGCAGCTGTAAGAGCACTCTGACCTGTTCAGCAGCTTCAGACCTAACAAAGCAGAGAGCAGAGGCTGAAAGGTAGCAGCTTACACAGAACATATATGAATCTTTTTTTGAGGAAAAGAAGTATTGCTCATGTGGTTATGCATTGCTACTGTGTGTGCAGCATGTTGCTATCCATGATGCTGTGTAAATGCAAGGGGCTTACAAAATAGAGTTATACCTTAGGAATCAGACCTACTGCAAAGGGGAGGGCATCTGTAAGGTCTCTTGTGAGGCCTTACAGGACTTGTCTGTTGCAATAATTTGAGATCCAAATAGCAATCAGGACAGTAGCCTTGAAACTTTCCCTGAGGCTCAACAGCATTATAGTCAAAAAAAAGCTAAAGATATTCTCCATGTGTCCTGAAGAAAAGGTCTGAAATATGACTCATGAATCACCATTGTTTGAGGAGAACTGCACAATGCAGGGAAGAAAAAAGAAAAGTTGCTGCACAGAACAGAAGAGAGCAGTCTTTCAGACTTGATACCCTTCCCTTGGGGACAGATTTGGCAGGCAGGTTTTGCCAGCTTACATCCATATAATATGTTCTGTGCCATTTTTTTGACAGTGTATCCTGTCATAGTTTTCACGCATCAATTTATGTGACAAGGATCAGGGATCCATTCCAGGGAAGCAGTTGTAGGTTTACACTGGGAGTCACTAAATGGCAATGTGTATCCCATGTGCAACTTCCTTCCATTCCCTTGATTTAGGTTTGTGTTGGTAAAATACCCTAATATCTTAGAGGTGACAGTAACAAAGTTTGCATTTGTACTTAACATTTGAAGGAATGTGTTCTCTATCCATCTCATCTGATGAGAAAGTGCCTGACATGACTATAAAGGAAGTAAGAGTGTTACAGCATGATTGTCCAAGGGATATTTTTTACTTCTGGAAGACAAAATGGAATGTCATCAGGATTCCAACAGTAATGTGACTCGCATTTTACTTCTTTCACCTAATATTCTAGAATTCATCCTCATTTAGTAGGACTCAGATTTTCCAACATGGGCAATGCCTCAAGTTCTAGCCTGAGTGTATAGTAAAATTCAAGAAAAATACACCAAGAATCTGAGAATAAAGAATATGTGATAAGCCTGGGTAATATTTGGCAGAATAACTCTGATCCACCTCTGTGAGAAGAGGAAGATTTTTTAGGTCAATTTTTTTTTTTTTTTTTTTTTTTTGACAGAAGCATGAAAGAGTAAACTGTGAGCAGAAATAATAGCAGAAGTCTCTGGAAAAGACACATTGGTGGTATAATTATTTTGGGATGGGATGAACAAAAGCAGCAGTTTATTCTTGTCTTACACACATGGCACAACATACAGAACCAGAACAAATAACTTACAAAATCTCATACACCATGCTTTCTCTCGAACAGCTTCTATTAAGTTACAACACGATAACAAATCAGGTATTTAGTTATGACAGATTTCCATACATGGATAGCCTCCCATTCAAGGAGTTATTGTTTTTGTAAACTACTTAGACAAACATCATTTTTTACATGTTTAATACAATACAGTATCTTTAACAGAGTTCAAGATATTCACAATGAGAATTGAATACTTTATAAAACAGCAGCATTTCTCATCTCAAGACAGGTCTATATTCACTCCTGCCTTGTCTGGTTTACAGATGTGTTACGAGTCTTCTTTACTCAACTTTCCAAGCTAAACATTGCTTTAAATGAAAAAAAAAATCTATTTACAGTTTTTTCAATTTAATAAAAATTTATTTGCTTCCCTTTCCCATTCCTACCCCCTACCCCCATCAACGACTGCCATTTAGCTGGTAAAAATATTAACCCTCAGGCTGCTATATAATCTTTTAAACAGTTTTGATGTTTTGATGACAACTTGTTAGATGCAAAATGAACAATGGTCATCGCCCATCATTAACTTTAAAGGGTGGATTTTTTCTCCCGATGTCAAAATTTGTGTCCATTGGAGACAGATGACACTTGTCATCTGATTTTTAGATATAATGTGTTATTTATGGGCCAATATTCAAAACCTCCTTTCTTTCTTTTTTTTTTCTTTTTTTTTTTTTTTGTTTTTTAAATTGCAGGCAATACCACTCTACCACTCTATTTGGTGCAATCACTTTCATTATGAATTTTGTTATGTCCTTACTAGAAATAGTAACAACTCTGGCCGCATGGTGCTGCCTTAAACTCTCTCAGACAATATTAAATCAAAGAGTGTCTCCCCCTATCTATGGTGCCATTGTGCTGTTGTCTCACAAGAAGAGTTTTGCTTTGTGATTCCACTTCAAACCCCACTGAAGCCTGTGGGCATCTTTTCTTTGACTTAGTGTCCTTGAATTATATCTACTTGATATAATTGGATTGGCAAACTCTAGCCCTTGAGCAGTTCATCAGCTTTCTAAAGAAATAAGCAAAAAAGATTCCTCTCCTTTATACATACAATACGCATTTTTTTACATTGAGTGTTATCATAGACAGCTTGTTTATGTTATTTTGAAAATGAATTTTTACAAAATTTATAAACAGTGTTATATCAAACATTCTCAAAAACTGGAGAAATTACTGACACAAAACATGAAAGACCCTCAATAGAATTCTTCCAGTACTATTTCTCTACTTGCATATTTCATATTTCAGTGTCCTTTACTGCAAACATAATTTGGCCATATGGGAACAGAGAAAAGTCAACAAATCTCCAACAGTTTTGAATAAGACCTGCATCCGTTGTTTAATGAGCGTAACTGAACATCTAAAACATTTTTTTTTCCTGGTATGCCCATTCTGTTACCTTTACTCACATTGAGCAATACCTTAATTCCCAAATAGTTTCATTCATTGTAGTGGGATTACATGTGACAAAATTATATATGCAAAAATACTGAAAACTGTTTTCCACTTTTAAAATCATTATTCAGTTAACAACTAACATCATATTCTTCTTTATATATAATGTAAAAATGACATAGGAGTAGTATTTGCAAACTTCTGTATCAGAAATCAGTGTACAAACTTTAGGAAATAATCTTATAGTTGTGCTATAGTTCTGACAGCCTAAAAATGTATGAAGTGTGACCAAGAGTAAATTTCACAGGCCTAGATGCTTTGTTTATATACTTGGGTTTTGACACTTTATATTCCCCTAGCCTGGCACAATTTAAGTTTAAGCATACATATGTCACACTAACAAGACATTATAAAAATTTTTCTTACCACCACCAATTTTCAGTACAATCAGTAATGGACATTAATGCATATCAGCTAAGTGAAATGCACTTTTCAAGTAGTTTGTCTAACATAATACTGTATAAATTATAATGATAGTTTGTTTTCCTATCCTGCAAAAGTTAAAAAATGCATTAAACTTCGTATGTTGTGAGTAGTCTTATTGACTGTAATGATATAACTCACAGCTCAGGAAGCTAAATGGCTGAAAAAGGTTTTGTAATCTGTCTCACTATTTTCTTTGTTTTTCATTTAATGAAACAATCAAGAAGATAGACTTCCTTGTTGAAGTTTATACTGCTTCAGAAGTTTTAGGCTATGTAAACTGCAGAAGAATATAAATTTAATCAAATTAAGTTAAAGCCTAATGAAATAGAAATTCCTTTATTTACTCTGAAAATTTAGTTACCTTCTATTTTGATAATTCAATCCAGTTTTTACTCCCCCACCCCCACAAAAAAAAGTCTTGTAGTTACAAGCCTGTAATTATACATAGCAAAGAAAGAAAACTGCTCCTTGCCTATGGAAATTATATATAGTTTTTCAAGTTCCAACCCCTCTCTGAGCTGCTAACCATCACACAACATATGCCATTTGGCAATTTGTCTCCTAGGATATTCGCAAATTTCCTTCCAGTGTTCTCCACCTGTTCCTTCTGCTGAACATCCCAAGGTTAACTGGCCAATGACCTCATTTCTTGACCCTCTATCTGAATCTAAAACCAAAAATTCAATGCTGATATCATCAAGGCCCTCACAAGGAATGTCAAAGACAAACAATTCATTGAACACTGCATTGGGGGTACACTTCTTCACATGGGTTTTCTTTTTAGAAATTCTTTTCTTAGCATGGTACAGGTTCACTTTGACATAAGGATCTGCAATGAAAAGAAAGAACACAGATAAGCTATTGAATTGTCATTTAGAAATTCCTTGATCTAGTTGATGGTAAACTTTGTAATATACCAACAGAATTATGTCCCAGTGAGGGATAGTTACTAAAGATGATTTGTCTCATTCTTTTTTTTTTTTTTTTTTTTTTTGTATTTGCTTCTGAATTAGTCTCTTTAAGCTCCTTTTATGGTCACCAAATATGTAATCAAGACAGTCAGTAAAGTTTAGGGCATAATTCATCTAACCAAATGCTGGTGACTCCTCTATGAGATAAATTCTACCCTGTAGTTTGTTAACGCTCATGTTTACATGTCTACTACCTCTAAAACTGGTCTGAAAGAACATAAAATTGTAATGAATTCTGACAAATATATATCACTATATATTTACATGTAATAGAAATCTGCTTTTCACACATTTTAGAAGTAGGGGAAAATCATTAGTGTTAATAAGGCTCATGGAAAGCAAAGCCTCAAAACCAAGAGAATAATCCCATGCTGAGAGAATGGATGCGATTCATTTCAGTTGTGGATCTTTCTAAGTCAATTAATTTGATTAAATTTCTCCCACCGATTTTTATTGAACAAATTTAACATTAAACTTTAAATGTAAGACTACATTTCTTGATAGGATATGTACTTGACTTTATGTCTGTACTGTACTATTGAAAAAGGGAAGAGAAAATATCCATATTTTAGCTCTGTTAAACAATTTTGAGTGTTTGCAATCCTCAGAATTTTTCAACTGTTGCAAGATTCCTTCGCTATTGTCTTCAACAATAGCTATACTTCTTCAGAGCAATTCTAAAGAACACTTTAGAAATCATCCATTTCAAGTATATTTATTTTGCATTTATATTTACACGTATTTCAGTGCAAATATGTACCTGTTTCCAAAATCTCACGGTGCAGAGATGCAATGCAAATTCATTTCTATTAAGTGAAGTAGTCTATGCAAACAGTCAGCTAATAAACATCAAGAACAGTTGAACTTCTTCTCTTTTTTTTTAATTTATTTAAGTGAAATTAAATTGACCCATATTTAAAAATTCTATGCCAAAGCTATCAGACTGAAATGGTCAGATAATGAAAAATTTTTTGTTTCCTTGGATTGACAATGGTTTGACAGGAGTAAGGTATGATAGAATACATCTTCACTTTCATAATCTATCATCATAATAAACATTCTAAAAAATAGCTTTATATAATTAAAATGTTCATTAGCTTTGGAATGAGAATATGCTACACAAGCACTAAAAATATCAAAATCAGTATCCATCAGTGCTTTCATGCCATTGTTCATTTCTTTTTAAATGAACTTTTCTGTTATTTCTGGCTAATAGATAAGGCTGAAATGTTCCTCTTGATTTTATTAAGACTACTAGGAGACCTCAGCACCAATATTTCTTGGTGTTAGAAGTAGAAAGACTGTATTATTGGCTGTAGTAATTATGATTCAGTAGTTCCAAAGGGTACTTCCTCTTTCCTTCAAGAAAATCCTGTGTTGAAAGAGTTAAGTCTTACACAGAATCAATAGCAGATGTGCTATAATTTGTATAGTCCTCTGCTGTGTACTGTTCTTCTTGTGTGTTTGTCTTATTCTCAAGTGGTTAGTATATTGCATTTTAAATTTTATTATGTTATTATATTATCTAGGATTAACATGTATTTAAATGCAATTCTAGTACTGACTTCAAAGAAAGTTTCACTGAATGCAAAATGGCACAAGACCAGGAGAAGGGACTGCAAAAGCTTTAGTATACCCCCAAGCAGTGGGGTAGTTCACCTTTTCACCTTGCCAAATAAATGTTAATGCTCAGTGGGCCAAATTCAGCACAAATGAAACTGGTTGCCTTTTTGGATGCTAAGCTGAAATATACCATAATATACCCTATGAGGATCTCACTCAATATTGATCGTCATAAATAAACTGATCTTTTGTCATAAATAAAAGCTTTTAGTATCTGCAAACAACATCCCATACTTATGTCAGATGGATTCTGTTCAAGACAACGACAAAACTCATTGGCTTCCAGTGCTAACAGATGTCATAGTTTTTCTAATGTGTTTGAAGAACAAATTTCTAAAATATATACTCTGCAAAATAAAGCATTGACCTAGATATGAATGAAATTAATAGGCTGCAAATAATACAGACACCACTTCTGCATTTCTGGGCTATTTTTAATCTTTGAAATGTTACATTTCAACTGTCTTCTATGTTTACTGTACATTCTTTGGCCTTATTCATTAGTAAAACCATTACCTGATAATCCTGAAACATCAGATGTAGGTAGGTGCCTGGCTTTTAAAATAACAAGAGTTAGCGTGTTTGTTGCAGACTGATAACAGAGAGAGATCAGTAATTCTCCACACCCAGATGATTTCTAAGGAAATGAAAGGGAAAAAAAAAAAAAAGAAAGAAACAAAGAAATAAGACTATTTACGAGCAATTATATTGACCATGCTTGAAAGTAGAGCTAATAAGATTTCTAAAACGTCACATAACTGTGCATCCCAGACTAGTGTAGAAGTATATAACTTATGAAGCTATGCTGCTTTGTCTAGCAAATATAATTTTCCTGTACTATAGTTACATAACTCTTCTTATCATTAGCTATTAGACTGAACAAAAGTAAATAAGTAAATAAATAACTAAATGAAAATATGGGTTGACATGGCATCATTAGCTTCACAGATTAGAAATGAAATCCTACATCCTGAAAAAAAACTCTCAGTGAAAGAAAAACACCTTAAGAAAAACAAACTCCTGTGAAAGCTATGTTGAAAAAAAAAGAATAAAGGTAATATACAAAAAATCTTCCATAAAATCTTTTTAGCCATTAGCTATTCAAAAGCAATTAGTGAAATCTCATCCCTGACACTTTCTAATGTAGTATAATATAAATGGAATAAAGATAAGATCAAAGACTTTCTCTATGATTATTAGATATGAATTTGCAGGAGTAATTTAGTTCACAGAAAGGAGGAAGTCAAGGGAAGCAAGCAAAAAGAATACCTTATATACCAGAAAACCCAGTAAATTATCAACAAAATATCAGTGACATAGTTATAGTTGTAACATAGTGATAGAATTGCAAAATAATGATATTAGTTAAAGGTATGTGTCTGGTAGACATTTATTTGATTTGTCAGCATGCTTGCACTTTGAAAACAATCAGATTGAAAGCCAATATACAGTCCACTTCCTTAGCAGAGATTAAAAGACGTGTGTGAGACATGTGCATTTCTGTGGTTCAACTATGATTGTGGTCTTTACATTCTGAAATGAGACAATTATTTTACATATTTTTAGTTTAGTGAAGTTAATATGCTTTGTCATTGACTTCAGTGAGGTTTTGGCATCTCCCTCATATCTTACTGTCCTTAGAAGTGCTACAGCCTCTACCATGGTTGTTAAGAGAGAAAAGGTAGTAACAGCACTGAAGTGAAAGAACGTGCTACTGCACCACCAGTAGAGTCTCAAAGAGGTTCCAGTTCCTTCAGTAAAGACTACCTGTATTTTTTAAGAACCTGCTTATCAACCTCTGGATATGAAATGAAAGATGTGCATTGATTTCAATACACTTTGAGAAAACATGATTTCAAACAGAAAAGAGGAGTAGTAATAATAATAATAATAATGTATAAATCTTTGCATTCTTTCCTGTAATGTTCTTTTATTTCATTTGTATAGCTACCTCCTTATGCTGCCATTATGGAAACATCTCAATAGCTTACATGGTAAACTTGTACCCTTCTCTTTCCAATATGCTAGCAGCATTGCACAAGAATCAGCTAAAACTAGTACAACACTTCTAAATTTTAAATAAGAAATATGTTACCCTAACATTTCTTTTGATGATCTCTCTGTCCATTTGCATCCTTCCTTCTGACAATTCAGTTCCTTCAAGGGGGATGAGGACTTCTCCAATGACATCATCTCTGGAAAACCTGTCAAAGCTCAGGATCATAAAGTGAAGTGTTAAGTCTTGAATTTGGCTGTAGGGGATCCCATAGAATGTGAAAGTCTCATCAAAAGCTGGATCTAAGGTTTTTCTCAGCACTCTGGTTTTCACCTTGTGCTTTTTTTCAGGCAGGATTGTCATTTTGATATAGGGATCAGAAGTCATTGACTGTTCATCCATTGCTGGCAGCCCACGTGCTTCCTTGATGTTCACTACAAATGCCTTTTTCTCAAAGTTGTACTCTAAAGAGAAAAAGAGTATTCCTAGCTTGTCTTGTTTTTCTTCAGATGAAAGGGATGTGATGGACTTTAAACTATCAGGGGATACTGAATTTTTCTTACTTTCCGAAAAGTGTTTCGGAGACACATTTTCAAGATATGGAGAGCTCTGTATTTCAGAGGTTGTTTTGGGGAAATTGCCATTTAGATCTCTCTTCTCTAGGTCTAGATGGAGAGAATTCTTAGGCATTGCCAATTTGTTCTTTGCTTCACTTTTATCATCTGCTCCAAACTTCTTCTTACTATTGAGATTCTCAGGATAAATATCAACTCCCTTCAGAATATGGACAAACTCATATGGAGGGGTCTTGTTGGATTTGGAAGATTTGCGCTGGCAGCAGATCCAATCAAAAAGGGAGACAGAGAAGACAAGGCCAAATGCACTGAAGAGCCCAACCACTGTAGGAATTTCATCTGCAAATTAAATAAACAGCAACAAGCACATAAGCGGCAATGCCTTGGACTCTGTGTGATATTTAATAAAGTAATAATTTAGTAAAACAAACTGGTACAAGATGGTAATAACAGCAGTGTCAATGGACTAAAAGTTCTTTGCATTGTACATACCACTCGCCACGTTCAAGCATGAATGTGCAGTCCCATACAAAGACAATTGCTATGTTAGTATTTTTCCATTTATTGGGTGTCTGGAAGGAAAATACTGTTCTCATCCTAACAGCAATAATCATAAGTAATAGCTCAACTATTTCATCCCTCTAGGTGTAGTTTCTGTGTTTATATGTCAGTGAGTAAAACTACTTCAGGTTTCAGCTTTGAATTTATGCAGCTTTGTTGGTTAGGTAGTACAGATTCTGAAATATGTGTTACTTATAGATACATCATCTGCTTTTCACACCACTTCCTAGAACACTTTGTACACTCAATTAGCTCATTCTTATGGTCTGATCCCATAACTGCCTAGAGGTATCTCTTGACAAAAATCTGAGTTTAACACGAAGTTAAAACACTCAGTTTCAATGGGATTTTCAATACTTTGCAGGAAAAAGGCTACTAAGAAAATTTAGGATGATTATATACCAAGTGTATTATACAGATGGATGAGACTCTGGGTCACATGTGAGTCCAAAGCTGAAAAAATTGCTTAAGTGTATCACTGATACCCAGTAAGCTTTGAATTTAAAACACTATGAATTGAAGCCATAGAGAGTTTACAGGAAGGATCACAACTTTTTAGGAATATATAAGAAAAACATTAAACCAGAATTCTCCTCTAGCTTAATATGAATCCTATACTAAAATACTGAATGAAGAAAAAACTGAGCAAGCATTACAACCTCAATTGTCACGTGGGATACATTAGTTACATACAGAGTATCATTAGCCCTTCACAAGTATGCATTGAAAGGGCAAATGAGCACAACTAATTAGAAATCCAATTTTGCCCATAAGTGTAGTGGGTTTACGTGGCAAGGCTTTGGTAGCAGGGGGCCATAGGGGTGGTTTCTGTGAGAAAGATCTAGAAGCCGCCCCATGTTTGGGAAGGGCCCCATTGTTTTCCAGATCTGAGCCAATAAGCGATGTTGTTTTGCGCCTCTGTGAGAGCATATTTAAGACAGGGAAAAAAACTGCTGCGCCACACAGCAGCCGGGAGAGTGAAGGGAGTGAGAAACAGCCTTGCAGGTGCCAAGGTCAGTGTAGAAGGAGGGGGAGAGGTGCTCCAGGCGCCGGAGCAGAAGTCCCCTGTGGCCTGTGGTGAGGACCATGGTGAAGCAGGATGTCCCCCTGCAGCCCATGGAGTACCACGGTGGAGCAGGGTTCCACGCTGCAGCCCGTGGAGGAGACCACGGTGGAGCAGGTGGCCCTGCACCGACGGAGGCTGCCGCCTGTGGAAGACCCCTGCCGGAGCAGATTCCGGGCCGGACCTGTAGCCCGTGGAGAGGATACCACGCAGGAGCAGGTGATCTGGCAGGAGCTGCTGCCCGTAGGGGAGCCAGGTTGGAGCAGTTTTCTCCTGAGGGATGGACCCCGTGGTACGGACCCATATCTGGAGCAGTTCTGGAAGAGCTGCTGCCTGTGGGAAGCCCACGCCGGATCAGTTCGTCAAGGACTGCATCCCGTGGGTGGGACCCCACAGCACAGGGGACGAGAGTGACCGAGAAGGAGCGGCAGAGAAGAAGTGCTGTAGACTGACCATAACCCCCATTCCCCCGTTCCCCTGCGCCGCTCGGGGGGAGGAGGTGGAAGAGGGTGGATGGGGGGGAGGTGCTTTTGGTTTCTTTCCTTTGTTTCTCACTTCTCTAGCTTGTTAGTAATGAGCAATAAATCTTACTATCTGTCTTCTTATGCTGAGTCTGGTTTGCCCGTTACACTAATTATTGCGTGATTTTCTCGTCCTTATCTCAATCCTTGAGCCCCTTTCACATATTTTCTCCCCATTCCTCTTTGAGGAGGAGGAGTGAGAGAGCGGCTGTGGTGGAGCTCGGCTGCCCACTCGAGCGGAACCACGACAATAAGTAACACTACTAAGTGAGTTTAAACCTTCCACAATGTAAGAGCTTAATATTTATTCTTTGCAACAATGGAGACCAGTAGAATATTAATGGAATGATATTGTTGATGCATAAAGGCAATTGTGTAACAATTCTGGTTCCTCTAGCAAATAATTAGCAGATCCTCCTGGATGAGAGAAGCAAAACTATCTCCCTCTGTGAATTACTAAATCAAGTTCATCTAGGTAAAATCTGGACAAATAGATGTGCTACCACCATAACTTTGCTTTTCAGTGAGATGAGTCAAAAAAAAAAAGAAAAAAAACAAAAAAAAACACAATAACCATCACAATGAAGTAGGACATAATGTTCCAGCAAAGAAGGAATCAGGCCTGGCTATTAATTGCTTCTGACAATGCTCATGCCACTTCACCTTTGCTTACAAACCATATCAGTCTACATACTTAATTATAAGAATTTAATGAGATGACTGAAAAATATATACGTAATCAAAGTATTTTTCTAAGTTAAGCACGTGGCTCTGAGTTTCAAGAATTCTCTGGGCTGCAGAAATGTAAATGTACATGGTATAAAGGTAGAAAGCAAGGAGTAACTGAAAATTAATTATAATACTTTAAATAGCTTTTAAGAAAGATCTGCACATTTTCAATACTTTTTCATGAGATTACAATTAAAATTTTGATAGTAATGGAAATTATGCAATATTTTTATTCTACAAATACTGAAAGCAGTTGTAGAATCAATTTATTATTTAAAATATTAATTAACTGCCTTAAATAAGCAATTAGATGAGGATGATGTCACAAGCTTAGTTAGAAACATCAAGTGGGTAGGGTAGGCAGGAAAGGTAACGGTAACTAAAATGTTTTTACATCTACAGCTAATTATAATACAACCTGAATTTTTTGCTGTTGTCATAATGTAAATCATTTAGTTAGCATTCAAGGCAGTGTATTAATAGGAAACATCACTTATTGATCCTGGGAGAAATTCTTGTTTCAGTTATGTGATGCAAATCTGGAGCTACCTCACTTAAGTCAGTGGAGTGATCCTCTAATTAAACCACTGCTAAAGCAAATAACATCCAGGCTAGAGTCAATATTTGTAAAGCAGAGTTCAAAAACATTTTTACTCACAGCTTTTCTGAGTAAAGCTATTTAGTTACCTATTTCATAAGTGCACGTTATGACTTTTTCTGAAACTTGCAGTATCACAGTTATTCAATGTGTAGAAATGCCACAACTGAAAAGTTCATTGTTATCATTGCTATTCTCAGTGAACACAGATTAATCACAACAGAGCTGTTTAGCCAAAAACACTGGGATCCTGTATTTTCATTCTCCTAGCAATGTTCTTTACAGGACTACATTTCACTTTAACTAACGGTTGACAAGTCTTTCTCTATGACAAGTAAAAAGGAATGACAATTATTCCAAGAATGACAAAGATTTTCTCTGTGGCACAAGATGCATTTACATCATTTAACTCTGAAGCCGTGCTACTTTAACCGAGACAGAGAAAACAACATCAAACCGCCGTCATCCAAAAATGCACCTAGTCAAACCTCTCCAACACGCCGCGTACTGGGAGGCGCCAGGGTGGCTCAGCAGAGCCTGCCTGCATGCTCTTCTCCTGGGGAAGGGAGCAGTCCCCAGCAACTTCCAGCCCCTCTGCCGGGATGGGGATGCGCTTACCGAAGTGCTGGCGGCTGGCCGTGATCGGAGCCATGTTGGCGGCGTGCGCTGCCCGTGGTGCTGGGGATGCTGTCACTGGACCTGGGGATGCTGTCCGCGCTGTTGGGGATGTGGCCCGCGGTGCTGGAGCTTTCTGACGGGGAACAGGAGCCTCCCCCCCGGTGTCCAGAGACCTGCCCGGAGCTCTGAAGCCGTCTCCCTGTCTCTCAAACCACTCAGGCAGACGGCTTTTCCAACGTGGTTTAAAAATAATAATAATAATAAAAAAGTAAAAAAAAAAAAAAGTAAAAAAAAAGAAAAAAAATAAAGAAAAAAAAAGCGGTGGGGAAGGTGGAGGAAGAGTATGCGAGGGGACTGGAGGAGCGGGGGGAGGGGAAGCTTCGGTCCTCCCCTTTTGCACACTGATATACAACCTCCTTCCTGTTTTGGCTCTTCTGTGTAGCTCTGCTCCGAGACTGAAGACGTGGCTGAAACCCAAATTGACGCAATCCTGACGCTACAGGGCTGAAATCAGCACCTTTCCCATGTCCCATCCCCCTCCATCTCTTTGTGTGTCCATGTATCCCGTAGCCCCCCCCCCCCCCCCCCCCCCCGTCTTTCTGGGGATTGAACACTCACTCATTGATTATTTTAACTGCCCTGCTGCAGGAGCTCCCACCCTCTGTCGGACACAGACAGGAATGCTAATGTCTGTGATTCAATGCATCTTGTGGAATACACGGGTGTGTCTGTTTTTCTGTGGTAACATCTATTTATCTGCTTATTTATCTATCAGCTGGACAGGCTACAATGATGTGAAGTAGATGCCAGCTGAGATGGTCCAGATGCCTTGGCTCCAACTGCAAGGCAGTTTTCTCCTATGACTAATGTGATACACTTACTGGATTTGAGTCACGAAAACTCCTGATGTGTTCTCCCTGTCCCTCCTCCCTGATTCTCCCCACCAGCCATTCCAACATAAAACCCCAAGCCCTTGTAATAAGTGGTCAGAACCAAAACGACTCTCAGAATAATCTTTATCAGAGTCAAATTTATTAAGCAAGCATTCAAGCAGGCAAAACAGCGCTGGGTGGCCGGGGAGTCTCCGCTCCACCAACGGCGCGCACCTCACCCCCACCAGAGTCCCCCTTTTATAGCTTGGTTGTTCCGGGTGTACATGGCATATCCTGGTATGTCCTGCGGTTGCGCGTACTGTTGCTAGGGGGTCGTCTCGGACCTCCCGGTGGTTGTGAGGATGAAGGCTGTAGTCTTCCTCTGCGTTGCGGGTTGTGATCTTGCTGAGAAAACACTATACATGTTCTTATCAGGATGGTCAGCTGGAAACTTTACAGCTATACAGGGTTGTCACAGCCCCCACAAGCTTTCCCACTGGTTTGATTAACAAACTTATTATATAGTATTTATTACAATCCCCCCTTTTTGTTTTCACCATTTTGTTCATCAAACCAGGCAACAGCTTCTCGTGCAAGTGGGAGGATGGGAGTTTCTTTACTAATAACCTGGTCTCCCTCTAAGTGTTCATATTGTTTTCTTATTAACATTAGGTGTGCTGCTTCCAATCTGCTCTTTACTATCCCAATCGCTTTATTCAGTATACAGGGTCCAAAGGTTAAAATGAGTGTTAGAAGTACCAAAGGCCCAGCTATTGTCGACAGCAAGGTAGTTAACCAGGGAGAATGACTAAACCAAGATTCATACCATCCTTGTTGAGCTTCTCTCTCCTTTTTATTCTTCTCGAGCCCTTCCCGTAGTTTAGCCATGGTGTCCCATACTACCCCTGTATGGTCAGCATAGAAACAACATTCTTCTCCCAATGCTGCACAGAGCCCACCTTGCTGTAGGAAAAGGATATCCATCCCCCTTCTGTTTTGTAATGCTACCTCCGATAATGAAGTTAGTGACTTTTCCAATGCTGTGATCGACTTTTCTATTCGATCTAAATTCTCATCTACTGCTGCTCTTAGAGAATTAAACCCTTGTTGTTGTTTTATGAGAGAAGTTATTCCAGTTCCTGCTGCCACTGCTCCAATACCCAGTAATGTGGCTATGGTAATTGCAGTTATAGGTTCCCTCTTTATCCTGTGATGTGCTCCAGTATCCCAATAATCATAAACCTCTCCTTCTGTATGGTATAATATCTTCGGAATGATAGTGACTTGTATACAGTATTCCTGAGAGGGTTTGAACACATTAAGAGCTACACACGGGGTAAGTCCTGTTTTAGAACATATCCATTGGGTTCCTTCCTGCGGAATGATCCATGCTTTACTAGTTTGGTTGATAGTGAGTTGGAGAGAGCTGCAAAGCAATCCTTTAGATTTGGGTATGTTGCCTATGCAGGCTCCTGTCCCAGTGACGTGTTGCATGGTTATCTCTTTTCTCCTATCTCCCCAAGAGCACTGGGAGGGTGCATCTTCAGTGCTCAAATTATATGTATTGTTGACTCCTACCACTTCATAAAAAGGGGGTTGTATATCGTAGCACAGCCAGAAATTCTCAGTCAGTTCAGGCCTAGTTCTATTCAGGGTATCGCAAGCAGCTTGCATTACTTCTGGCACGTTAAACATTCCCCTACAATTCTCTTAGCAATTTCGTAAATCCCAATACACATACACTTAGTCCCAAAGTGGTCCACAAGCGCCTGTACTCCCCAGTGGGTCTGCCTGTGGAATTCTTTCATTATTCTCCACGCCATGATTTTAGGAATAACCTCCCTCCCATCGGGGAGTGCCCACCTCCCTTCCTTCTCAACGATTCCCATTTGTTGCAGTTTTTCTGCCTCTCGGGCAGTAAAGCTCTTGCTACCTCCTGCTGTTTCTCTGACCTGTTCTGCTTCTTTCATTACCAATAGTGCAGCCCGTTTTGCTTCCTCATCAGCTACGTTGTTTCCTTTTATCTGGATAGAGGTACCCCTCTGATGGCCTTTTACATGTACAACAGCAATCTGCTTAGGTCCTCTCAAGGCCTTCAGAGTTTGCATTATCAGAGCCTCGTGTACCAGACCCTTCCCTTGAGAATTTATTAACCCCCGCTCTTCCCAGATTTTCCCAAAAGTATGCACCACTCCATATGCATATCTGGAGTCAGTAAATACAGATCCCATCTTTCCTTTCAGCAGCTGTAAAGCCCTTAATACTGCAAATAACTCACATGCATGGGCTGACCAGGTCGTATCCAAGGGACCAAATTCTTTTACCTCCATAGTGTTCCCGTCTATTATGGCATAACCTGATTTTCGTTTCCCATTTATTACCCTTGATGATCCATCTACAAATAATTTCTCCCCATTTGGTAATTCCTCTTCCTCCAAGTCTTCCCTTATTTTGGTCTGGGATTCGATTAATCGGACACAGTCGTGTCAATTCTTCACTTGGTTCCCCATATAAAAATTGAGCTGGATTCTGTAAACTAGTTGTTTCAAGTTCTAATTTGGGGGAGTGTATTAATACTTCATACTTCAATAGTCTGGCATCAGTAATCCACTTATCTGTTTTCTTTTGTAACACCCCTCTTATGTTATGAGGTGAGTATACCTTTAATTCTCCCCCCAGGGTGACTTTTCTGGCTTCCTCGACTAAGAGGGCTGTAGCCACTATAGCCTGTAAGCAGGTGGGTCAACCTCTACTAACTGGGTCCAACAATTTTGAAAAGTAACCTATGGGCTTCTTTCTTTCTGCCCACTTCTGTGTTAAAACTCCAAATGCTGTTCCCTCTTCTGTGTTTACAAACAGATAGAAGGGTCTCCTAGTATCAGGTAGGCTTAGCACCGGGGCATTTACTAAGTCTGTTTTTAAATCCTCAAAGCACTGTTCATCTGTCAAGCTCCATTTTATTAGCCCTTCCCCAATCAATTTCTGATATAAGAATTTTACTGCTGTAATTTTCTATCCATTGCCTACAATAACCAAGTAATCCCAGCAATTGCCTTACTTGTCTCTTACTCTTTGGTGCCCGTAGTGACAGGATGCCATTCACCTGTTCAGGGTCTAATTTCTTAGTCCCCTTACTTAGCTAATGTCCCAGGTATTTCACCTCTTCTTCAGTGAACTGTAACTTGGATTTGGATACTTTTAGTCCCTTTAAGCTTAAAAAGTTCAGTAACCTAATACATTCTTTCCTCACAGCTTCCTGACTCTCCCCTGCTAACAACAGGTCATCTACATATTGTACCAGCTTTACTTCTGGGTTTAGTTCATAGGTGCTTAATACCTGCTCCAGGGCCTGCCAAAACAAGTTCGGCGACTCCATAAATCCCTGCGGAAGCTCGGTCCACCTTAACTGCTGTTTCCAATGGGTCTCAGGATCCTCCCATTCAAAGGCAAAGTAATCTCTGCATTCTTCCTTAAAGGGACAAGTCCAAAAGGCATCCTTCGTCTATAACACTGTACCATTTCAGTTCTGGGGAAAGCTGGCTCAACAAGGTATACGGATTGGCTACCACTGGGAATCTGGTGACTGTTCTCTTATTTACCTCTCTTAGATCTTGGACTAAACGGTAAGAGCCATCTAACTTCTTAATGGGTAGTATAGGAGTGTTATGGGGAGACATGTAAGGTTCCAATAACCCTTGCTTCAATAGCCTTTCAATTTCCAGCTGCAACCCCTTTCTACCCTCTTGTGACATCGGATACTGCTTTACTCAAATGGGGATTTCAGGATTTCTAATGGCAATTTCAAAAGGAGTGATGTCCAATTTCCCCACTGACTCAGGAGTGTACCACACCTCAGGATTGATTTTTGCCTCGTCTTCCACAGTGAGGGTACACAGTTTAACTACGATTTCCTCATTTCTTACTTCTAAAGTAATTCCCAGTTCTACCATTAGATCCCTTCCTAATAGGTTATATTCTGCTTCGGGTACCAGTAAAAAGGATCCTACTATACACCAAGATAGGGTTTCTATTTTTACTCCTTTTATTATCGGGACCTTAAAAGGTTCTCCTTTTGCTCCTATTACTTGCAATTTCTCTGGGGAAAGCGAACACCCCTGGGGCACAGCCTTTACAGTAATTCTTTCGGCCCCTGAGTCCACAAGGAATTCCATTTCTTGGTTCTGAGGACCTAATTTTAATTTTATCAAGGGATCCGTTTTCTTACGGGTCCCCAGCAAATAGAGCCCCTGAACCCCCTAATCTTCCTTAAACATCTGCTCATCCTGCATGCGCTTCCTGCAATCCCTCTTCATGTGCCCTTTCTTCTGACAATAGAAACACTCAACCTGCCTCATGTCCCTCAAATCACTCTGACTCCTGTGGGACTTTTCCCTGGGTTTTGAAATACCCGCTCCCCCTTTACGGGTTGGAGCTGCCTTTTGTCCTTCTCGGACTGCCGCTACCAAAATCTTTGCCTGCCTCTTCTGAATCTCCTCCTCTCTCCACACGTACACCTTCTGTGCTTCCCTCAGTAATTCATCTAATCCCTTCTCCTGCCAATCCTCCAATTTTTCCAATTTCCTTCTAATATCCACCCACGATTTTGC